TCAGTAACTTACATTCAGCTTTCTAAAATCTAAAATAAGATATCCAAACAGCCCTACTAGTCATGGTAGGGAAAAAGGCTGCACTAAATTGATGAAAGAGAAAAAGTACTCATTTCATTTCACTTGTTGGAGGCCAGAGGGAACCTGTGTAATGTCCAACAAAGTCAGGACATGGTGGGACAGGCTTAAATGGCTCTCTGTGTGAGGAATGGAGGAATCTTGTTTTAGGGATCAAGGGCTCAGAAAGGAAAACAGAATGATATTGTTACATGTGTTGATCAGGTATTTTGGATTGCAAGAGACATAAACCCCACTCAAACCAGCTTAAGCCAAAAAGGAGAGGCATTGACTCACACAACTGAAAATTGTTTTCAGTTTACACTTCAGTCATGGTTAGGTCAAGCAGAGACATTGGTAATTTGTCTCCTTATCTCCTGGCCCTGCTCTTTTCTGTGTTGGTCATTTCTGCAAATGTCTTGACTTTGAAATAAACTGAGATGATTTTGATCACATGTTGTGACTGGCCAAGCCTGGGTCCTGTGTTCATCCTCATTTTCAAATTGAGGCAGCTGTGACTTGTGAGTTCTTTGAATGTCCTCATCTTGATCCTGCAATTCAAGGGTCAAGCTTTCATCAAAGGATCTCACCAAGTCAAACAGATCAAGGCTGTATGGAGGTGGTTGGGGATTCATACATACCCTGGACCCACCTGTAGCACAAGATGCTGCAGACCCTGTCACCAGGTATGCACACTTGCTGGCAGGAGGCAGGGAGGTAGGGCATCACTGCTCACCCTATGAGGAATCCACATCTGACCTCAATGTAGCAGATGCCAGGAGCACCAGAAAAGTTTCCCTGGCTCCAAAGATAATGCTCTGTCCGCTATCTGATGCTCAAAATTTTACCCTGTCTTACTTTCTCTCTAAGCCCATGTTAAACTACAAATATCTTTGAGAATGGCAATACTTTATGTTTCTATCAGGCATTCTTGCGGTGAAGGATTAGAAAGCAGGTTCTGATAACAGGAGAGAATGAAATTTTCAGGGTTCTCTGGGCATGAGATTAAGTGATAAATGAGATGGGAGGTGAGAAACATGACAAAGAATGTGAAAAATGGCCATTTCCCAGCATGCCTGCAGCTGGAGCTGGAGAGGGCAAGGGTTTGGGATGCAGGTAGGTGATATGGTGCATCACTGAGATGAAGTGACAACTTAGAGAAGCAAGGAAGGAAGGAAGCCTAGTGGATGGTGACAGCATCATGGAAGAGCTGTCCAAACCCAGGTCTTAGAAGATTTAGACATGGGGACAGGTAAACGGCTGAAGTAGGGGTAGGACATTTACAATGGGGAAACAAACTGAGCCAATGGATGAAGATTGAAATATCTGTGTACCGGTTTTATTTTTCCAATGCCTGCCATGTATGAGGGCACCTTATAGATGGTTTCCCTTTCCTTTGTTCCACAAATAATTTTATTAATTGTGATAAAACATGGCACCAAATTTACCATTTTAACCATTTTTTAAGTGTACGATTTAGTGGCATTAAGTATATTCATATTGTTGTGCAAATATCACCACTATCCAACTCCAGAACTTTTTCATTATTCCAAACTGAAACTCTGTATCTGTTAAACAAAAACTCACCATTTCCCCCTCACACTAGCACCTGGTAAGCACTCTTCTACTTTCTGCATCTATAAATTTGACTATTCTAGGTACCTGATATAAGTGGAATCAGACAATTGTGTTCTTTTGTGTCTGCCTTACTTCACCCTGTGTAATGCCTTCAAGGTTCATTGATGTGTAATGTGTCAGAATCTTATTCTTTTTTAAAGCTGAATAACATTCCTTTGTATGTATATACCACATTTTGTTTATCCGTTGACCTATTGATGGATACTTGGATTGTTTCTACCTTTTGGCTATTATGAACAATGTTGCTATGAACATGGGTGTACAAATATCTGTTCCAATCCCTGCTTTCAATTCTTTTGTGTATATACTCATAAGAGGAATTACTGGATGATATGAAATTCTATGTTTAATTTTTCGAGGAACTATACTGTTTTCCATAGCAATCGCACCATTTTACATTCTAATTAGCAATGCACAAGGGTTCCAATTTCTCCACATCCTTACCAACACTTGTCATTTTCTGTGTTTTTTGTTTTTTTTTAATAATAGCCTTCTTAAGGGATGTAAGGTGGTATCTTATGTGGTTTTGATTTACTCCTTAATGATTAGCAATGTTGAGCATCTTTTTATATGCTTATTGACCATTTGTATATCTTCTTTGGAGAAATGTCTATTCAAGTCCTTTGCCTATTTTTGAATTGGATTTTTTTGTTGTTGAGTTTTAGGGGATCTTTATATATTCTGGATACTAATCTGTTATCAGATACGTGATTTGTAAATATTTTCTCACCATTAAGTATAATGTTAGCTGTGGGGTTTCTCTATATGACCTTTATTTTGTTCAGGTAATTTCTTTCTATTCCTAGTTTGTTGATTTTTTTTTTTTTATTGTGGAAGGATATTAAATTTTGTCAAATGCCTCTCCTGTGTCAATTGAGATAATCTTGTATATTTTCCCCCTTCATTTTGTTAATGTGGCGTATGACGTTGATTTTCATATGTTGAACCATGCTTGTATTCCAGGAATAAATCCCACTTGGTCATGGTCATATAATCCTTTTAATATGCTACTTAATTCACTTTGCTAGTACTTTGTTGAGGAGTTTTTCCTCAATATTCATAAAGAATATTGGTATTTAGTTTTCTTTTTCTGTAGTGTCTTTGGCATTGTTAGGGTAATGCTTGCCTTATAGAAGGAGTTAAGAAGTGTTCCATTTTCTTCAATTTTTTGGAAGAGTTTGAGAAATATCGGTGTTAGTTCTTTAAATGTTTGATAGAATTACCCAGTGAAACCATCTGGTCCAGGACTTTTCTTTGTTGGGAGATTTTTGACTATCGATTCAGTTTCCTTATTACAGTCTATTTGGATTTTTTATTTCTTCATGATTCTGTCTTGGTTGGTTTTGTTTTTCCAGGAATTTTTTTCATTCATCTAGGTTATCCAGTTTGTTAGTATGCAATTGTTCATAGTACTCTCAGAATGTTTTTTTATTTCTGTAGAATTGGTAGTCATGTCTCACCACAAATAATGTTTGAGTACACACCTGTGTGCAAGGCACACTGCGTTAGGCCCAGGAGACACATGTACAAATAAGACCCCATAGTGTCACAGAGTTACAGTCCAGTGCATTTAAAATGTGACTTAGAAACCAAAGTTGGATAACATACCGCTTTTCAGAATTATATTAACTGTACATATAAATTTAAGATATTGATTCTCAAGGCCCATTCAGTGAAAGAAAGCCCTTAGATACAGTCTTATCAGTCCTTACTTGTTGCTCCTACTGTATCCTTGCCAAAGATTTCTGGTCTCAGAATATGTGTGGCAAACAATCTTGGAGACAGGACCAACTAGCAGCAGTGCATCCTAGTTCAGCCCTACTCTTGGCACCATGCACACACTCAAATTCAGGTGTGAGAATGGGGCCCGTTTTTCCTTTTTATTCAGGTACAATATCTACACAGTAGAGGGCATGAAGTGCAATAATCTTAAGTTTTTACGTGTCTAGACCTGTGTAACCACCAGTAGATCAATATAAAATATTCCCATCTCCCAGAAGTATCTTTCTGTATATGAGACATGAGAAGATTTTAACTCTTAAAGTCTCAGTCTGACAGCAGTGTAAAGAGGGTGAGATGGGCTCTGTGTCTCCATCCAGAAGCTGTGGCTGGAGGAAGTGTCCAGGAATTGTGCTAACTGCCAGGAATGGCCCAGACATTCACATATTCTACAAAATCGGCCTTGACCTGAGCCCCCTAGCAATTTATACTTGTGCTTACACACACTTTTTTTCAACATTTATGGAATTTGCAAGTCCTGACTTGGTGGAGTATCCAAAAATAAAGAAACCACAGTCCCTGCCCTTCTGGAGGAGGGCCAGTGTGTCTGCAGCCCAAAGTCCCCAGGGCTCACCTTCTGACTTTTACAGACATGGATGACAGCAGCTGCCATAGTCTTTTGGACCCTCCTTCTCAGAAAATCCTTGCTCTACCCTCTCCATCCTTGTCATGGGCATTCACTCACTCGGCTAAAGTTAGAGAGGGCCGGGGGTCATCTTTAGTTTGATCATCTCGTTCTGCTACAGCTTCCTCAGCCATGCCCTCTAGAGCTGCCAGTTTTCCTGTGTGTCCAGGAAGTAAGTCCAGAGTTATGGGATTAGAAGGATATGGGCTATTAGAAAACACCATTAAGAGGGAAGTTGATCATAGGCCTCAGGGCTACAGAGAAGGTTTTTATAAGAAGGAAGTAGACTGATTGTTCATGGTCTGTGAAAGAAGCAGTAAGTTAATCAAGCTCAGGTTAAAGAAGGAAAGATGGTGTTTGGAAAATAGGAAGAAAATCCTCATCAAAGAGTGGCCAAGATGGTGCCAAGTGGCCTCTGCCCCACCCTCTCAGAGGAGAGGACGGATAGAGGGCAGCCCAGAGTTTCATAGTTCCTCTGACTCCAGATGATGCATGAGGTTGGGCTGGTGCTCTAGTCCCTCTAACTCAATGATTCCATAATTCTGTGATGTCACTGAGGAGAGAAGAATGGGGAGCTGGGGTCAGCTCCAACTGCTGCAGTTCCTCTCTCCTTTGGATTCTGATAGTTTTTGGGATGAGGGGAGGTGAGCTGAGTGATCACACGTGTCCCCAGCTCAGTCTCCCCTCTAGCCACCTCAGCCCCCACCACATTTATGGAGAGAAATTAGCCTGTGTGAGTCAACTCCACTGAAACAAGCAGAGCATCTTATCTGAAACTGGTCAAAAGAACAACAGTGAAAACAGCCTTTTATTCTTCTGTTTCTAGAAACAAAGAACAAGAGATCTACATTCCAACTGAGCTGGAAAAGAATAATTGGACAAACTGTGATTGTGAGAGTGGATGAGTCTTCTAGCTAACTCTATGAGCTTTGAAACCACAGCAATCACTTTCTACATCATCCTTCTAATTTGCTTCATTTGCATCCTCCTTTTATTGGTGGTTTTTTTATATAAATGGTATAAATCCATGCTGATAAATTGGGATCAGATTTCAGGTCACACTAGCTAATTATCTAGAAATAATATAAGACAATTTAAAATAGAGTCAATAATAATGTTATAGCAATCTACTTTTTCATTTCAAGGTTTTAGAAATGCTAATTTTCTGTTTAAAAATGAAGTTCCATGCCAAGCTTTAAAATCAAGACCATTCTTCCTTTTTCTGAATTTTTTGCTTGTTCATTTTTAGTTCCCAAAGCAAGAAAGATGATGAGACAGAAAAAGGTCCTTGTGGAGGTAGAGACTGCTTTGCTGCTAACGTGGAGACAAACAATTCAAAAGACCAAGAAAAGTAAGTCTGCATCATAGAACATTGTAGAAAGCCATTTTTGTGTGTGATAGTGGTGGCTAATATGCATGAATTTTAACATCCCTGCTGATTGATTTTCTAGGACTGTCATTAGGCAAATCATGAGGCCTGGCATTCTTGTTCAGAGACGAAGTAAAGAAATGGTGGCCACACACTTAGAAAATAGAGAGGACACAAAGGATGAAGAGGAGGGCAAAATAAAAGAGAAACAAGATCCTGAGAATGCTGGAGAAAATAGTCAAAAGGTGGTACACTTTTCAACTCTCAAGGGGCATTTTAGAATTTGTTTGATTGAAAAGGAGCTAAATTACTTGGTTAGGTATAATAAGGGATGGTCTCGCCTGTAATTTAGATTTGTAAATGGAAGGAGTGCAATGTCCACAGTCATGTAAACCATTCTTCTTAGCTCATTGGCTCATGTTATCAAACCATTTACCTATGCGAAGCCTATACATTTGTTTATTCTTCATCCCTACATTTGTGTTTTTCTCAATAATTCCCCTTTATTTTGCTGCTTTTCTTAGAATCTTAGAAACTTGGAGCTGGAGGAGGGCGTGGAGATTATCTAGGGATCCAGCCCTCGGATGTTACAAATGAGAAAATGACACGAATTGTTCAAGGTCATTCCTCCACTATGGCTGAGCTCACTATCAAACTCTGTGTCCCTGCTTTAGTTCCAGGCTCCTTCTACAACAGCACACAAACATTGCCAGGGCCTTCCTGAGCTCCATGTTTGGGCTCCCTAATAAGAACAATTCACATGCCCTCCCAAGATAAGACCTATGCCCAGTTAGAGACAGTATGATGGTCCAAGTGGCTCTTGGGTTTGATTGCTACATAGAAAGAATGATACATGTTACCAAATGCTATTTCAATATGTAAGTGTATGCTTTTATAACCATAGACATATGAAAATGATGGATTATCACTGCTTTTCTATGTCATTTAGAAATACTTTTTTCTGTTTCTCACTAACAATGTACATATAACATATTTTTATTTATTTTTTATTTTTTACTTATATTTTTAAAAGCAGGGCTTGCATTCATAAATTGATCATTTATTCTGTTTGTCCCATTCTCTTGCAGGATGATGATTTGCAGAAACCACACATACCTGTCACTGGAACTCTTTCAGTTGTCGATAACAAAAGACCTTTAAAAGGAGTGACGTTTTCTAGAGAGGTAATTGTTGTGGATCTTGGGAAGGAATACCCTACACCTCGAAGCTATACTGTAGAACATAAAGAAAGAAAATGAAGCTCAAAAAAGGCTGAGAGCGAAAGAAATGTAACCTTAGACTAACAATGAAATGACTGGGGGTACAAAATCATGTTGCAACAGCAAAATAATGGAGAATTAAGCAAGTATAAATAGTATTTTACCTTTGTGCAAAGAGAAGTGGGCTACCTGCAAAATTCTGTAAGTAAAATATCCAGAGCTTGAATATAGTTTTTTTAAAACTCAAATCTGAGTTCAAGAAATTGATCGTATTAAGTGTCCTTAAAACTCAGTCTACTCGAACACTGTCTAACATGTGAATAAAGTTATTTGTGTTTGTGCGGGTGTCTGTTAGGTAAATCGTATTCAAGGGGACTTTGGAAACAGCACATACTCTTGATGCTCTGATCACAGGTATTCATGACCAAATCATGGGAACCTCCAATAACTAGGACTAGGGCCTCCTAGCGCATAATCCTCACTGAACTCAGTTCTGAAACTTTCCTTGTACTGACAACTGCTTTTTAAGATTGATACAAAATGCTACCATTACCAGCAAAATATCGTGTTGTGTTAGGCAAGTCCCGAGATTAGACTCTTCTTGATTTCAGTAGTTTAAAATTTGCTGTCTATATATGGAATGATAGTACAGACCAGTACATCATCATCCAAACTGCTGCAGTAAACATTTGTGAAATGTATAAGGGTCTATGAGACAGATAAAAAGCAGAAAACATAGCTTTTGATTCAGAGGATTAACACATTGTCATGTGTATGGCATACTCTCAATAAATGTTTGTGGAGTGATTGACAGAATAAGTGATAAAATAATTTAGAATATGTAACTAATGCTAAATGGGGAGTATTGACACCTGTTGATGGGGAAAAGTCTGTGACCATCCCACTATGAGCAGAAGAGACTTAACCAAATGAAAGGATTGGATAAAACAAGCAGAGGGAAGCGTGTATATCAGATGGTGAAAGGCACAAGCCAAGGCAAAGGGGTGAGCATATGTGTTGAGTTTGGTGGACATCGGTTAGTTGGAGTTGCAGGCTGGCATTGAGAAGAGTTGAGCAGTAACCTGTGAAGTGTAGTGAGGAGTCAGAGTAAGGTCGCTCTTAGGATCCCAGGCTTCAGGTATAGGGTAGAGAACAAATTAAAGCAGTGTGGACTGCAGTGGTCTACAAAAATATTCAGAGCCCATGGGTTCTCTACAAGCACTTAAATTTTTTGCTCTTTCGCCTGATAATATTTAAACATTTTTAAATTGTGGTAAAATACACATAACATAAAATTTACCATCTTAACCATTTTTAAGTGTATGATTCAGTAATGTTAAGTACGTTCACGTTGTACAACCATCACCACATCCAACCACAGAACTCTTTTCATCTTGCAACACCAGAACTCTGTATCCATTAAACACTAGCTCCTCATTCCCCCCAGACCCCAACCCTGACCCTCCCCTGCCCCGAGTAACCACCAATCTATTTTCTGTCTACAAATTTGATTGTTTTAAGGAACTTACATAAGTGGTATCATAGTATTTGTCTTTTTGTGATGGCGTATTTTACTTAGAATAATATTCTCAAGGTTAATCCATGTGTTAAGATCCTTCCTTTTTAAGCTTGAATAATATTCCATTTGTATGTATATATCACATTTTGTTTATCCATTCGTCTGCTGATGGATGCTTGGGTTGCTTCTTACCTTTTTTTGTTGTGAATAATGCTGCTATGAATGTTTAAATTTTTCACTCTAAGAAAGCTCAGACCTATCTAGATGCCCATTTATAGCTCTGTGTTCCCATATGATGTCATGGTTTCATTGCTCGTATCAGCATCTGTATTTATGGAACCAAGTACCTTTGTCACAAACCAAGGAGAAAAGAGTAGAAGAGGAATTAATACATATATGATGCATCTATGTCAAAGTGAAGGCCAATTTCCTAGTGATAACTCTACTAAACAAGGTTTTATAGAAATTCCAAGAGAAGAAAACAGCAGACAATTGGCCATCGGTGCCCATGATACTGCAGGCACATGGAACTCCAGAAGGCTATAGGTGCCACAGCTGTGGAGTGAGCAGCAGACAGCAGAACAGCATTTGGCACTAAATGGTAATATGAATTTTATTGGTTTTACACTTTTGTTTGATTTGTAAATTTGTTTTGGTTTTAGAGGTGAATGGGAGCTTTAAGGATAAGAAGTTGATATACAGTTTTATGTTTCTACATATTTTTAAATAACACTCTATATAATAAACAGTTTAAGGCACTAATGGTAGGGTGGGATCCATTAGAACTTTCCTCCATGGTTAGGTTATTGAAGAGTAGCAACCAGAAGATAAATGGAGATGGCTAAAGTGATGATTCAGATTTGAGACATGAAGATCTGGAATAGGGAGGTGATAGAACACAATGAGACTGAAGATAGTGTCAATTTCTGGTTAGATATGGGTGGAACAAGAGGAAGATGCTAAGATAACCCCTGAGTTTGGATATGTGAGAGACTGCCAGAAATAGGAAAGTCCAGAGAGGTGAGGGATAAGATTGTCTGGGTTTTAGTTCTGTTGATTTTGATGTGTTTGCCAGAAATATAACTAAAGATACTCAGTAAGCAGTTAATCTATAAAACTTGTTTCCATATTCTAAGCTATGGATCCAGTGAATAGTTATGCAAGTCTTTTTCTAAGCCCATTGTAGTTTCTCTTGCAGAAGTGAGATGAAACTTGCCACTTTTCCTCTTAAACTAGCTGTTGACCCAGGGACTTTCTTCAAATGACTACCCCAAGCAGGACACATTACCCAAAAGCCAAGAGGGAAAAGCTTGATAAATTGGACTATTTTTTAAAAACTTCTGTTTTAGCAAAGAATAACAAAATCAAACACCAGCAACAAACTGAGAAGTCCTGTTTTTAAAAGAATATTTTATACTAAAATAATTTCAAATTTACAGAAAAGTTACAAGAATAGTACGAAACTGTGTGCCTTCACTCAGATTCCCCAGCTAACAGTTAATACATTTATTTTATCATTCTCTCTCTCCATGTATACATATTCACATTTTGTAAGCATTTAAGAATAAGATACAAAAACACTGTATCATTCATCCTTAGTACTTCACACATATTTCCTAAAAATTGGGACATTCTCCTACCTAACCACAGGTCAACCATCAATTAACATTGATCCACCATTGCCATCTAATCCACAAACCTCATTCAAAATTTGCCGGTTGTCCCAATTTTATTCTTTATTTATTTAATATATCAGTATGAACTGATATATTTATTTATTTAGATGCTCCAATGTTCCTAGATATGGCCAGTGGGGTCCCTTTAAGTTGTGTCCTTTAGACATATCTCTAGTATTTGTTGAGCACTTCCTTACTTCCTATACAAGATGTTTCAAGCTCATCTTGTACTTTTTCTGGTCCCACCCTGGAATCAGCTATTTCTTTTAGGGGAGTTTGGTATTCTGAAACCAAGACTTGCACACTAGGTGTTCATTGCTCCTGGGTTCTCATTGTTTCTAGACTCAGTGGACAGAAGTAGGAAATGTATGTATGTATGGACACATAATACACATATATGCAGACATATATGTATTATCTAATACTGCATAACTCATTACTCTCAAACTTAATGACTTAAATAATTAATAATTCTGGGTTTATGTGGGCTGGAAATTCAACCTAGGCACACTAGGGATAGCTTGTCTTTGCTCCATCATTTTTGGGTCCTTGAGGCTGGAAGACTTGGATGCTGGGGTTGGAATCATCCAAAGGTGTGTTCACTGACACGTGTAACAGTTGCTGCTGGCCATCAGCTAAAGAGCTGTCACAAGAACACCTACACATGGCCTGTCCTTATAACCCAGGCTTCCTCACACATTGGTGACTAGGTTCCAAGGTCAAGCATTGAGAGAAAAAGGGAGAATGACAACAAAGTGAATGCTGTATATTTTTCATGACCTAGCCTTGGAAGTCGAGTAGTCACTAAGTCCAGTCCATACTCAAGGGCAAGGAGATTATACCCTATCTTTTGAAGGAAAAAGCATCATCCTCCCCCGCTCACACACACACCAAAAAAAAAAAAAAAACCAACAGCAACTGCATGCCTATTTTAAAACCATCACAATATCCATTTCTATAGCTATTTATCCTTATAAAAGATCATGAACTCATATCCATACTTCCAATTCTGATCTAATAGGGTTTGTTTTAACTTTACCAGCTCCATGACTCCCTTTGCCAATAGTGAGAAACCTGGCTCCCATTATGCTTAACTTACTTATGTATTTGCTCACTTCCCACCAACCACTGGACCAAGTATCCTGGGCTCTAGCACTATTGATTTCAGTGATTATTATGCTGAAAAAGCCTATTTTCAAAAACACTTATGACAAAGGATGATTTATTAAAGAAATTATTAAGGACATTTATATGCATAGCAATTATTTCACCAATAGGAATATGAAAAATATAAATTACTCAGTTTTAAAATGAGCAAAGATAATATGTCTAGGCAGAAAAGTAAGTGGCCAAAAATTTTTAAATGCTCATCTTGACTTCATAAATTCAAATTAAAACAGTAATGATTTTTTTTATCCATCAAATTGTCAAATATTAGAATGATAGATGATACTAGTAAAAGGATAGAGGAGTGGGGGAAAAGCATAGATATATGCTGGAAATCTTTCTGGAAGATAATTGGACAGTTTTTGTCAAAATTAAAAGTATATGTGCTTTTTGAACTAGCAATCGAACTGTATGGAATTTATATTTTCAAAATGTCACTAATGTATAAATTTGCTTGCTTCCTCTAGAGTGAGTTTTAAGAGAGAGAGAAAGAATGAGCAGGAAGATGGGTGGTCCTTTGCTAACCTAATTTTGGAATTGACATCCTGTCACTTTTACTGTATTCCGTTCATTGGAAGCGAGTCACTAGTTCCAGCCCATGCTCAAGGGGAGGGGATATACAAGGACATGAACATCAAGGGGCAACAGTCATTGAGGGTCATCTTAGAGGTTGCCTGCCACAGTACTACCTCAGGTGACTGGGAAAAGCAAAAATAAGCCCCCTGTGGGAGGACTTGATTTCAATAGCGGTCAAGAGCAGTTGTAAGAAATTGCCAATTAGAGATGTCCTCCAATTTTAGAGCTATTAAAATGTATGATATGATATAATGCTATGATATCAGGTACTGGCAGGGGGGAACGTGACTGTCTGAGAAGGTGACATCAAGGAAAGTCTTGTAGAGGAAAAATATTATTAGTGCAAAGTTTTGGTGAAGGAGGTAAGAGTGGAAACCAGCCACCAGGCAGAGTCCCCAAAGTACACAGATGTGTTGGAGAGCACCAGAGTTTGGCTGCTGTGTGGATTGCAGGTGATGGAATGACCCAAGATGAGGAGGGGCTGGAAAGGCAGGCCAGGTCCGACCTGGAGGGAGTCTTGCTAAGGTGATGGATATAGGGAGTCATCAAAGAATGTAAAGCAGAGCAATTCTACAATGGTTTTGTTAGAAAGATTGCTATGGAGACAGT